AATGGCTATGTTGCTGGACTTCCACGTAGTCGACCGCAGTTCGAGTCCCAGACCTGGTGGCTTAAACTCAGGCCGTCGCGTGTGCGTGCGTGCCCAAGATCCTGAGAGGAGAATGGAGGAGAAGGGATTGTGAAATGGCCATCCCCTCTGGGGGTTGATTTCTCGCTTTCTATCTATCTCTCTATCTCTCTCTGGCGATTCCCATAAAGAAAAACCCCTCAAAAAAAAAAAAAAGGAAAATGAGCAATCTTCCCCTAGGGGGATGATCATGTTACAGTCTCTTCTCCATTCTTCTCCTGGGACTTTGGGTACACATTCATACGCATTAGCGTGATTTTCAAGCTGCTAGTCCGGTGACTCTTACTGTGGTCAACCATGTGGGAGTCCAGTGCTTTAATCCCTACGCCACCTGCTGGCCCCAATAACCAGGACTTTTAGTATCTCAAATCTAAATCCCATTTAATCTAAAAGGTTTAAGTTACCACTGAAGCCTGTTGTGTATTTTGTTTTTCCTGAGTGTTTTACAGTATTTATTTATTTAGATTTTTGCTATAGGGTTCATGTGCTCACTGGAAAGACAGAGAGAGACAGAAGGGAAGAAATCACCCCCTGGGTGGAAGGCCATGCCTCAATCCTTTCTCCTCCATTCTCCTCTCAGGGTTTTTGGGCATGCACACATACGCAGCTGGCATGAGTTTTAAGCCGCAGGATCCAGGACTTGAACTGTGGTCCAGTGATATAATCATTGTGCTATCTGCTGGTCCCTTACAATACTTATTGAAGTCCATGTCAGGGGTAAGAACTCAAAGCGTTTCTTAGTATTTAACAAATTAAGTCATTTTGGAGTGATGGTAGGTTTTTCTTTGTGGGGGGTAGAGGTTTTTGCTATAGGGCACATGTGCTCATCAGAAAGACAGAGAGAGACAGAGAGACAGAAAGCGAGAAGTCACCCCCTGGGGAGATGGCCACGCCTCAATTCCTTCTCCTCCATTCTCCTCGGGATCTTGGGCACGCATGCACACGCGCCTGGCATGAGTTTAAGCCACCGGGTCCAGGACTCGAACTGCAGTTGACTACATGGGGAGTCCAGCGACATAGCCATTACATCATCTGCTGGTCCCTGAGTGATGGTAGTTTTTAACTAGGCTATTACAGTACATTATATTAGTTAGGTTTTCTAGTTGGGCCAGGAGGCTTCCCCTTTGGAGTGGCAAACGATTACAAAAGACGCTGTGAAGGACAGCACATCATGAGTAGCCCACCGTAGTTACTGTTCCTGTGGGACGGGCCGCCAGAGGAGAGAACACCGACTCCTGGACTGGTCCCCGGGCACTTGTTTCCGTGGTCAGATTCCGCCTGCATTGGTGTCTGTTCTATTAGGAAAGTATTCAGGAGAGTTGGTGCCATTTTTGCATTCTCAGATGTTTGCCCCATACTCCGAGGGAGTGGTGCCTTCTTAGTAAATCACATTAAGTTACCCTTAAGTTAGATCCTAAGGAAGACAGTCCTCTGCTCTAACCTTTCAATGGCAAGACCTTGTAAGTTGACACCATGAGAACAATTGAAAGAGGCTTTTCTTCTTTTTTTCTTTAATAAATATTTATTTAATTTTATTTATTACTATTTTTAATTTAATCCGAGAGAGACAGAGAGAGGGGGAAAGTGAGAAAGCAGGCTGCCAGGTCTGGGACTCGAACTGCGGTTGGCTATGTGGGAGTCTAGTGCCTTAACCACCACACTACCTGCCAGGCCTTGCTGAAGGGAAGCTAAGCTATTCACCTTAACTGGAGCACTTCAGCTACCATCAGCCTAATACAATGTTGGAGTTTCTTCTGCTTAAGGTTTCCTTTGCAAAATGGATCCTGAAAGTTTTAACAACAACAAAAAAGGGATTTTTTGGTTTGTTTTTAATATTCTGGTATGCCTGGATATAGGGGCAGATTGCTCTGGTCTTGAGCAAATTAAAGGTAATTTGTAGAGTCGGGGATTAAGGGAAATAGCGGTTGTTATTTCAACGACAAAAGGCTTTGAAAGATTTTGCTCCTCTGAGGCATTTGTTACCCAGTGTCAGCCAACTTTCTGTTTTCTCAAATTGATCAACATAGTGCCAATTTGGACACACAGCCTGGATAGCCTCTAATAACCACTCTTGGAATAAGGACTGCAGTTTCAATGGAATACCTTAATGTCAAGCTTTGAAAGACTGCCCCATTTGTGCTAGTCTGAGGCTGTCTGGGTGTATGAGGCCCGTAGCTAGGGCCCTAAAGGTCATTATATTAACATTTTTTTAAGTATTTAAGTTTTTCTCTTTTTTTTTTTGTAGAGGTTTTCGCTATAGGGCACATGCACTCGCCAGACAGAGAGACAGAAAGCGAGAAATCACCCCCCAGAGAGGATGGTCACGCCGCAATCCCTTCTCCTCCATTCTCCTCTCGGGATCTTGGGCGACTAGAGTAGACAGAGAGAGAGAGACAAAGTGAGAAGTGAGAAAACAAGATACCAGGTCTGGCCATGTGGGAGTCTGGTGCTTTTAACCACCATGTCCCTGCTAGTCCTCATTATTATCAACATTTGACTCATAAAACAAATAAGAGCCACTCTTTGCCACATCTGCTGCGAGGATGAAGACCATTCTCAGCAGTCAGACCCTCCACATTCCTGAGGATGTCCACATCACTCTGAAGGGACGCAGTTACTGCCGAGGGCCCCAGAGGAACCCTGCGGAGGGACTTCAGTCCTATCAATGCAGAGCTCAGTCTCCTTGGAAAGAACGGAGAGGCTGCGGGTTGACAAATGGTGGGGAAACAAAGGATCTGGCTACCGTTCACACTGTCTGTAGTCAGGGACAGAACACGACCAAGGGTGTTACACTGGGCTTCCGCTACGAGATGAGCTCTGTGTACGCTCACTTTCTCATCAACATTCAGGAGAACGGGTCTCTTATTGAAATCCGAAATGTCTTGGGTGAAAAATACATCCAGAGGGTTCGAATGTGACCAGGTGTTGCTTGTTCAGTATCTCAAGCCCAGAAAGATGAGTTGATCCTTGAAAGCAATGATATTGAACTTGTTTCACATTCAGCTGCTTTTAAACAGCTGAAATAAGGATATAAGAAAATTCTTGGATGGTATCTGTCTCTGAGAAGGGTACAGTTCAGCAAGCTGATGAATAAGGTCTAGAATTGTACAGTAGCAAGCTGGGTAATTTCCAAGGCCATTGTATGGCATTTTAAAGAGGACAATAAAAGCAATTGATTTGAAACTTTTTCTTAAACTGATAATCCTATTCCAACTACTTGGCAAGTAAGCCTATTACTCCTAGTAATAGGACTATGCTAAGAACAATACAGAAGTCCTGGTCAGGAATTTTTTTGTCTAGTTGTTTTTCTTCATAGGAACAAGGCTTAAATCTGGCTTTTAAAGGAATAGCAAAGATATTTCAGGCAAGAGAGATACAGTACCACGGAGTGTGGCTATTCATCATTGGATAAGAAGCTGGGGAAGATCCTGAGGTGAATTTTGTCATGGCATGGATTTTTAATTGGTACAGATGTGTCCTAGTCACTTGTAAAGAGATACCTGAGAAGTAGAACTAAGTGATAAAACCTTACTACCAGCTAGAAGATGTAGTCTGTGTCATGATAAACATAATTTTGCCATCCAACGTCTCAGTAATCTGCCCTACTTCAACCATGTACCATAGACCTTATTTATTGTTAAAAAATCGAATAATTCGTCCATAATCTCTTAATTCCACTTTTAATGAGATGTGATGCTACCATACTGGAATATAATTTGACATGGTTCTCTCTCCGCAAAATAAATAAATAAATAAATAAATAAATAAATAAATAAAAATAAGGGCTGCATTTTGCCTCATTTGTACGTACATTTGGTAGCAGCAGGGGCTTTTTGCTTTGATTTTGCTAAATGCATGTTGGTGATGGGGAGGGAGAAAGCGACCCCGATGAAGCGTCGTCCAACAACAGTTGTTTTTATGTTGTATCTAGCCTCTATATTTACTTCTCTCTGGATCCCATTACACTCTTT